GCTGGAAGGCATTGGATGCGAGCAGCGCAGGACCGATCGTCGTGGAGATCTTTGGGTGAGGCCTAGGTTCAGCAGTGGACGTCTTCCAATGATAATGATAATTATGCTTATACATCAGAATAACATATAGGCTATAAATATATATAATTCAAAGGTGACTGACATAGTGATCTATCAACACACAGCCCAAACCACTGGACGGATCGGGCTGAAATTAGGCATGCTGGTAGGTGTTATGACGTAGGCATCCACTAAGAAAGAATTTTGATTAATTCTACCCCCAAGGGGATAAAATAGGGGATGAAAGTTTGTATGAAACTTTATAAATTTTACTGGGCTGAGACTGCATGCATAAAGCTACTATGACGTAGGCATCCCCAAAGAGAGGATTTTGATAAATTCCACCCCTAAGGGGATAAATTAACGCAAGCGTAGCCACGTGCAAAAGCTAGTCCAACAATAAATTGGAGAAATACCGGAGATTACTCTGAACATTCAAACTCACAAACTTTGCCTCTTCATATTATTACTACTACGAGAACTTTATAAACATAAATTATACGGAGATTGTAAATAAAATGTAGGGCGTTACGATCCCCGAAAACAAGTATCTTATGAACATTTATTTCGTTTAAATTGGTCTAAGAAAGACACACTGCGATCCAGCACGCCTCCTTTGTGTCGTACGGAATGGATTTTGGTAACTTACGGTTGGATGAAGGAAGTTAAACGTAGTTCCACTCCAGAACGGTTTTAAACTCAATTTTGATTGGAGGAACTTATAATGCGATTTCTTGACGGTGCTTCGGTGCCTGTGGCTGGTTGTAATTTTGGTGAACGGGATTTAGTTAGCAGATGTAGTAGGTATTTACGGTAAGTGTGATATAATATCCATGACCGTCTCGGTTGTCTAGCGGTTTAGCATATCCCCTTTCTTCTGAGTCACGGGTTCATTCTTTGCGCAGTACAAACATTTGTATTCATGAGTATGATTGTTTTTATCAGTCTTGGTCATTTCTATGTATATTTATTATCTACGTATTTGTATCAGTTGTCTAGTAACCATCATACAAGCTTTGCATAGTTTGGGAGTAGATGGCGTTATGTGTTTTGATCTGCATTTTAATATTATCTCTCTTTAGAAGTACGTACTTAATTGTTTTTGCTACCGGAATAGTAGAAGTATTTACGTTAATTTGTAATAAATAAATATATACAAATAACTCATGAATCGCTATTTAACCCAAAACTAGGCAGGTTGAATATTTTAAAATTTTTTCCTGTTACTCGATACAACTACTAATGTATCAAGTATGTATCAAGTCAATGACGTAATTTTATATAGCATTATATTTGTTTTAGGTTTTATACTTTAGGTGATAGACAATAATTAATATAATATTTTTTGTAAACAGCCAAAAACCCTAACTCGGTCCTTTTGACTCTGCTCAGAGATGTGCTATGAGGATTGTTGATGATTCCAATCAACTTAGCTTGAGGCGAAACTTTGTGTGTTATACAGAATATACAACGGACTGTGTTCTAGACAATTGTTCAACATGATGCACACGGCTGCCTTTTACCATCGCACCGCTCGCAATTGACTGAGAATTTGTTGCCACGTGCTGGAACCTAAGTAGTTTGCGACAATGCTGTTTCAAAAGAGTTTCCTGCCGCGTACACTCAAATGATGGAATAAACTACCTACCGAGTGTCCTTGAGAGACTATGCCTACCTTCTGATGCTATCTCGAGAGACTACAGCATGGGGTTTTTCAAAAAGGTACATTAAGGTTTCTCAAGGCTCGGAATCGCGCACGTGGCACCCCTAGTGTTTCAGGCGTCCATAGGCTAAGGTAACCATTTACCATCAGATAGGTCGTATGCTTATTTGGCACTATAAAAAAAAACAGATGCATTGTGCAGGAATCGATCTTATAACATTGAATTCTCCATTTATGGTATGGGTTCCAGGGAGTCATTGCGAGAGTGTTTTAAGGAATTAAATATCCTCACCGTTGCTTCTCAATACATTTATGAAAATATCACCTATGCCAGAAGGAATATAGACAGTTTCAAAAGAGTTGATGATTGCACTAATAAAAGCTTACGTAACAATAACAAACTGATTTTACCTAAATGTCGTTTGGCTAAAGTTAGTAATTCGTTTTATGGCAATTGCGTAAGGTTTTACAATAAAATACCAGTCTGTTATAAATCTGCCAGAAAAAAGATTTAAAAGTCAAATAAAATAGTTCCTTTGCAAAAATGCTTACTATAAAATTGAAGAATTCGTTAACGATAATAATGTTTTTATAGAAAAATTTTAAATCCATAGCACTGACAATATTATCTGATTACATTAATAATGAGTGCGTAGCGACTTCTATGTTGATTATCGCATGCCTCTTACTTGTTATACTGTAATTATTTATATAAAAAAAAACATCTATTAAAAAGAGCAACACACAAGTTTCTTTCTTGCTCATTCTTCTTGTGATGAATCAGCATTCCGAATGAGTGGTAGAATCAAAATATGACTATTCAAAAGTGCTTGTAATGAGTTTATTTGAATAAAGATTATTTCTATTTCTATTGAAAAGTAAGACGTGTGCTAAGCTATATAGCTTGACATATATATACCATACACAAGCATATCAAAAGCATATCATAAAAATAAATATTTTTCTTCCGTTTCTCTCAGAGTAGGCACATTATAAACATAAATGTTATATTATATATTCATATCGGTCGTTTATGTACACATCACGAAAGTCTAAATCCCATCTCTGATATTATAAAGGCATTTACACTTGAAAGGAGATGCGTGCGGTTTCGAAGCCATTACCCATTTACATCCGGCATGATAATAGCTGTTTAAACTTTACACACGGCGAATCTGTGCACATTTGTATTCTGTACAGATTCAGTGACACCTGTGGACTGCATGTACTTATTGAGTTGCATACTCAGTTAGTTTCGAATCGGTTTCGCTAGGTTCCGTATCGTATTCTTTAGTTATTTATATTAATTAGTATTTTTAATGTATATCATCTATCTATCTTCTGTACGGTCTTTATCTTCTTCTTTTCATATCTTTTGTATACCAGTGCATTATTGTTTTACTCTATTCATCTTTTCCCCTCATGATATCAAAGTGGTGGCAGCTGGTACTTGGGCAAGAACTGCTAATAATAGAGATCACTGGAGACAGCTGGAGGAGGCCTATGCTTGTTAGCAAACAGATATAAATATATGTATAATGTTAGGAAATGTAGAATTGTAAACAGCTAATATCTGAATAAAGGCTTTATTATTAATGTATAAGTATTGAAGAGTTTATAAACGATTATAATGTTTTTGTAGAAAAAAATCTAATTATAAATTCATATTATCTAATTTCACAAATCTCTATTTACAAACGAAAGATTTCTAATAAGATCTGTCAGTAAAATGTCAAGCTAAGAAATCGTAAGATTTCTTTCATTCACTTAGTAAGTTTTTGCTGAAGTTCTTTTTTCTACATTATTGTTTCTTAAGTGACAGCAACACGCATGTGACACTCCTGGAGTTTCAGGCGTCCATGAGCCACAGTAACTGTTTCCCATCATATGGGCCGTAAGTTTCATTATCACTATAGCTGTATAAAAAACTGACCAGTGCCACTATGTCGGCGTTCCAGCTCAGCCGTTATTGATTGCAGTGCAAAATTACGTGATCTTATATATCCTATTAATTTCCTCCGTAAGTGAGCTGTCCAACACTAAAATTCTTTTCAAAATCGGATAAGTAGTACCGGAGATTATACTGAATATCTAAATTCACAAACTTTATATCTTTGTAATACTAGTATTGATAAAATTAATATGATATGTGGAAATAGAAATAGAAATAGAAATAATCTTTATTCAAATAAACTCATTACAAGCACTTTTGAATAGTCATATTTTGATTCTACCACTCATACGGAATGCAGATTCATCACAAGAAGAATGAGCAAGAAACTTGTGTGTTGCTCTTTTTAATAGATGTTTTTTTTTTATATAAATAATTACTGTTGAGGGCGCCACTATATCTAGTATGTATTAATTATAAATATAGTATCTGTATAATTAAATAGTACTGTTAGTATAAAAATAATGTAGCAAATAAGTTATATATCTCACAATGATTATCTGTAGAATGCAAATGTTGTTTACGTAATTTAGTTCCGAAATGAATACTAGATGGCGCTGTTAGATTTCTGAAACTCGATATTATTTCGTTTTCATCGATTGATATACACAATTGTAAAATTTTATTATTCAGTATTTTGTAACACCATTTTTTGATATCATTATACTCTTTCCCTCGTATGTGGTGTTTCATTTCGAGGTTTTTGGGCTGTCTGAATATCGCGGCGCGGACGTCTTCATTTGGTCCTTCGACAGCCGGATTCTAAAAAAAAAAATCGCGTTCGCTTAGTATATCGCGTCGTAGTGTTTAGACAGTGAAAAGGTAAAGTGAAGAAAAGTGACAAAAGTGGATAAGTGAAGAAAAAGTAAAAGTGACAAAAGTGGATAAGTGAAGAAAATGTGAAAGTGACAAAGGACTTTGGACTTTAAAGAACAGTGAGTACAAAATAATTAAAAGTGGAACTTAGTGAATTAAAAGTAACTTTGTAGTGAAAAATTTAGTAGACATTCCTAAAAACTTTAAAATTTAATAATCCTAAAAACTTGCAATTTGAATACTCCTAAAAACATTGAATAATTTCTTCTAATCAAATAGAAAAATTTGATACTCCTAATAACTTTAGAAATTTGAGTGTTTTGGAACTTTGAAATATTTGCAATATTTTATTAACTTGTAACCATACGCATCTGTCAGAGACTTAGAATAATTCGTGTTGCATTGCAAGGACTTTAAAATATACTGTTTAAATGACATTTTGTGTTTTCTCTGATTAGTAAATTGTTTCTGTGAATACTTTATTTGGACTTTATTTTGTGATAATTTAACATGGCGAATTTAATTAAAACACAAATTGAATTACATAAACAATTAGACAAGGCTTTAAAAAACTTTAAGAAAACACCTAAAGCTAGACTGACGGAAACATACGCTCAAGTAAAATTAGAATTGTTAGAAGATTTATGGAACAACTTTAAACAAAATCATCAAATATTAATGATAACCACTGAGATTAATATACATGAATCAGATTACATAAAGAATGAAATTTATGATTTAACTGAAGATATTTTTACTGCTGCTAAATGTGAGATGAAGGAGATTCTTAAGACATTTTGTTCACCTAATCCGACTTCAGATAGTAATCAGACCACGTCATCTCAGTCGAAAGCACCTACAGCTATGACTCCGGAATTAAAATTACCCCATATTAATATTCCCGTATTTACAGGAAAATATTCCGAGTGGATACCATTTCATGATTTATTTGTGTCGCTTATTCATCGAAATTCAGCACTTATGGACGTACAAAAACTACATTATCTTAAGTCTAGTCTGAGTGGAGAAGCAGCAACATTATTAAAACACATACCCATAAGTGAAGCTAATTATGAAGATGCGTGGGTGATATTACAAAAGCGATATAATAATAAACGATTTATCGTCACATCTATTCTAAAAAGATTACTGTCACAAAAGTCGCTATCTACAGAATCAGCAGGAACTATTAAAAACCTGCTTGACACAACAAATGAATGTCTAAGTGCATTGAACAATATTGGAGTATACACCTTGAGTTGGGATGCAATTCTAGTTCACCTAACTGTCACTAAATTAGATCCAGAATCTATCCGTTTATGGGAACAACAAATCAGTCTAGAAGACGACGGTAATAGCTTGCCGACATTTAAACAATTATGCAGCTACCTTGAGTCACGTTTTCGCACTCTTGAGATGTTGGAATCCACAAAGACCATGTCCAGACCTAGTACAAGGCAGAACACCTTTCACACGACATTCAAAAGTAGTTGTAAATATTGTCACGGGAATCACTTTATATATCAATGCAAAGAATTTGCCCACCTTACATATACTGATCGCAAACGCTTCGTGGAACAGAACAGATTATGCTACAACTGTTTGATTCCGTATCATACCGTTGACAAATGCAAACAAAGGTCTACATGTCGGAGATGTGGTAAGAAACACCATTCACTTATTCACCCCGAAGGAAACACCTCAGATCATCTTTCTCCAGATGCAGGAGGAAGTTCACACATACGAGATAATAGACAAGCTGAAGTAGCTACAACACCAGTCGAACACAATGTAGCGGCCCATTACGCGGACCAGGAAATGACCAAAAATGTGCTGTTGGCCACAGCATTGGTTAAAATTCATACAACAAATGGGACTACATATTCTTTGCGTGCTCTGATAGACCCGGGATCCGAAGGTTCATTTATAACGGAGTCCGCTGCACAGTTCCTTGGATTAAAGAAAACTACAGTCAGATGCACAATTAATGGACTGGGCGACAATGACAAAGCAAGTCTCACATCCACTAGCATGGTTACATTCGTTGCACAATCGAGATATGATTCAAACTTCACTGTACCAGTACAGGCGTTTGTTTTGAAGTCGATTACTCGGGCACTACCTGCTCAACGAATACGCGAACAGAACTGGCTACATCTGCACAACTTGGATTTAGCAGATCCATACTTTGACACACCTGGGAAGGTTGATATCCTGTTGAGTGCAGAAATTTACAGTGAGATCCTGAAAGAAGGATTAAGAAAAGGCCCCCGTGGTACCATTATAGCGCAAAATACATACCTCGGGTGGATTTTGTTAGGCCGGTTGCACAATGAGGAGACTATACAAAGCTACAAAATCACGACTAGTATGCATCTAACAATTGAGGATAATTTACTACAAAAATTTTGGGAGATGGAATCTGATTCTAAACATGAGAAGATTCTTACTGAAGAGGAGAGTCGATGTGAGAAAATGTATGAGGAGACTTATACTAGAGATAAAAGTGGTAGATTTATAGTACGCCTACCATTTAAAGAAGCAAATCCACCTTGTCAATATGGATCATCGAGAGATATAGCTGAAGGACGACTGATACAATTGGAGAAGAGATTTACAAAAGATTCTGATTTAATGAAACAATACAGTCATGTCATGAAGGAGTACCTAAATTTAGATTTTATGGAAGAGATAGTTGAGGAACATGATCGACAGATACCAACAGCTGTTTATATACCTCATCATGCCGTGATTAATCCGAAAAAGACGACAGTGAGAGTTGTAATGGATGCTTCGTGTAAATACAAAAACGGAACTTCACTCAATGATAGTCTCATGGTTGGTCCTCGTCTTCAACCAGATTTACGCCACATCATTCTACGATGGCGATACCACAAGATCTGTTTAGTGGCCGACATTACAAAAATGTATTTGCAAATTAAAGTTGACGAAGCAAGTTCAAATTATCAACGCCTCCTTTGGAGAAACAATTCTACTGAAGACATTAAACATTATAGAATGACCAGAGTCACTTTCGGTACTGCCAGTGCTCCTTATTTAGCGACAAAAACACTGCATCAGCTTGCAAAGGAGGAGACGAATAAGTATCCCTTGGCCTCAAAAATTACAACTACAGATTTTTATATGGACGACTTATTATCAGGTGCAGATACAATAGAAACCGCTAAAAAGATTTATGATGAGATGAATGGATTAATGGCTGCTGGCAAGTTTCAGTTACAGAAGTGGAATACTAATGATACAGAGCTTCTAAGTTATATGAGAAAAGCAGATGATGAAGTTACTGAGTTAGAGTTTCAACTGGAAGGTACAATTAAAACATTAGGAATAGTATGGGACAGAACAAAAGATGAGTTTCAGTATTCAGTAGATATTCCAGATATATCATCTCCAGTGACAAAAAGATCTATTGCACGAGATGTAGCCAAATTATTTGATCCAATGGGATGGCTTGCGCCAGTTATCATCATTGGTAAGATATTTTTGCAGAAGCTATGGCTTACTGGTGTAACCTGGGACCAAGAAGTGCCTAGTGACTTGGCATATAATTGGCTCAAGTTCAGAGAAGAATTACACTGTTTATCTGATATTACTGTAGAGAGATGGTTAAATACAACTAGTTTAGATACAAAACTAGAACTTTATGGATTCTCAGATGCCTCCACTGTAGCATACGGGGCAGTAGTGTATGCAAGAGTTACAGATTCTACCCATAAAATCCATATTCATTTAATTTCAGCTCGCACTAAGGTGGCTCCTGTAAAAACTATATCGTTGCCACGTTTGGAGTTATGTGGAGCGGTCTTATTAACACGTCTGCTTATTGAGATTGCAGAACATTTGAATGTACCAAGACAGCACATTTATGCATACACTGACTCGAACGTCGTATTATCTTGGCTACAGAAACATCCAAGCACATGGAAGACATTTGTGGCAAATAGGACATCTGAGATAATAACCTCATTACCTGGTCATCATTGGTTTCATGTACCATCCAAGGAGAACCCTGCTGATCTAGCATCTCGAGGAGTTACTGCATCTAAGTTAAAGAAAGAGACATTATGGTGGAAAGGGCCAGAATGGCTGAGAAGAGATACTATACCACATATGATAACCCTACCAGATTTGAAAGAAGGAGAAATAGAACAAAGACCGGTAAAAGTATTTACAACACAGATAGAGAATAACTTTTCAGAAATATTTACACGATTTTCTACAGTGACAAGACTACAGAGAGTAATAGCACTTTGTAAACGTTTCGGACAGATAAGGATAAACAAATTCCCAAAATATGTAACAGCTGAAGAATTAGACAATGCATTGAAAGCATGCATCCTTATATGTCAGCAAGAAGAATTTTCTAAGGATATAGCGAGTATTAAGGACAGTAAAGCTGTAAAACAATACAGCAATCTGCGATCTCTTAGTCCATTTTTAGATAAAAACGGCATATTAAGAGTCGGAGGTCGTTTACGACACGCTAATATTCCTGAAGAAGCGAAACATCAGATAATTTTGCCCGATTGTCATTATTTATCCAAACTAATTATCGCAAATGCACATAAAAAAACTTTACATGGGGGTCCAACTCTCATGCTAAGTTTCTTGAGACAGAATTACTGGATTCTCGGTGTCAAGAGAATGATTAAGCAAGAAGTGCATAGATGTGTTATCTGTGCCAGACACCGTGCAACTATTGGTACACAATTAATGGCCGATCTACCTCCCCAAAGAGTAACACCCACAAGACCCTTTTTGCATAGCGGAGTTGATTTTGCTGGACCTGTGGACTTGCGTATATCTAAGGGTCGAGGTTGTAAAACGTCTAAGGGTTATCTATGTATATTTATTTGCATGGCAACAAAGGCCATTCACATTGAAATTGTAAGCAGTTTAGAGAGTGTCGATTTTATCGCTGCGTTCAAAAGATTTACCGCTCGACGAGGACACTGCCGTCACATGTGGAGCGACAATGCCACTAACTTTATCGCTGGTAACAAGGAGTTACGAGCCCTGTTAAAAGAACAATTGCGCGCTGTTAATGGAGAAATTTTAGACATGCTTGCTAGAGATGGCACTGAATGGCATAACATCCCACCAAATGCGCCCCATTTCGGAGGCATATGGGAAGCAAGCGTGCGCTCGATTAAATTTCACCTGAAGAGGATTCTTGGCAATACCACATTAACTTATGAGGAGATGGCTACGGTTACGGCTCAAGTTGAAGCCTGCTTAAATTCTCGACCCATTTCGCCAATTAGTGATGATATTAATGATTTACAACCTCTAACACCTGGTCATTTTTTGATAGGAGTACCACCTATTATAGTTCCGGAAAGATCGTACATCACAGATAATATAAACCGTTTAAATCGTTGGCAGTTAGTACAGAGAATGGTACAACATTTTTGGGACAGATGGACTCGCGAATATTTGAGCAGACTTCAACAGAGACCGAAATGGACAAAAAGACACAATAACGATATTAAAATAGGAGATCTCGTTATTGTAAAGGACGAAAATTTACCACCCGGGAAGTGGTCCCTTGCCAGAATCATTGATGTACATCCAGGAGACGACGGTTTGATTCGTGTTGTTAGTTTAAGATGTAGAAATTCTGTAATTAAGCGTCCACTCATCAAGATATGTCGCCTTCCAATAGACCCTTATGTTTCATAAAGATATTCATTAAAATTTAGATATACATTGCACGGTGGGCGGTTGTTGGAAGAACAGCATGTTCTTGGTGGGCGGAATGTTGAGGGCGCCACTATATCTAGTATGTATTAATTATAAATATAGTATCTGTATAATTAAATAGTACTGTTAGTATAAAAATAATGTAGCAAATAAGTTATATATCTCACAATGATTATCTGTAGAATGCAAATGTTGTTTACGTAATTTAGTTCCGAAATGAATACTAGATGGCGCTGTTAGATTTCTGAAACTCGATATTATTTCGTTTTCATCGATTGATATACACAATTGTAAAATTTTATTATTCAGTATTTTGTAACACCATTTTTTGATATCATTATACTCTTTCCCTCGTATGTGGTGTTTCATTTCGAGGTTTTTGGGCTGTCTGAATATCGCGGCGCGGACGTCTTCAATTACAGTGTAACAAGTAAGAGGCATGCGACAATCAACATAGAAATCGCTACGCACTCATTATTAATGTAATCAGATAATATTGTCAGTGCTATGGATTTAAAATTTTTCTACAGAAACATTATTATCGTTAACGAATTCTTCAATTTTATAGTAAGCTTTTTTGCAAAGGAAGTGTTTTATTTGATATTTAAATCTTTTTTCTGGCAGATTTATAACAGACTCAATGGACTCAATTCAAATTCAAAATATCTTTAATCATGTCAGGTCTATTAAAAACTCATATTTAACTTAAAATTCATAGCGCTGATAATGTTATCTGATTGAACGGAGATTAAGCGTAGCGGTTTCTGTGTTGTTTGGCGCATGCCTAATCCTTGTTAATGTAAATATAATAAAAACAATATTTATTTAAAAGAGCAATACACAAGTTTCTAACTCATTCTTCTTGTGATGAGGCTGCATTCCGAATGAGCGGTAGAATAAAAAAAATGACTATCCAAAAGTGTTTATATTAAGTTTATTTTAATGAAGATTATTTTTATTTCTATTACTCTTATGATATGTCAAATCTACCGTCAGTTCGGAATGATTTCGAGATGAGAAGAACTGACAAGAAACTCGGCTCGTATTCTTTTCAAATAAATGTTGAACATGTTTAAAATAGTCAATATTCATTTAAATTAAAACTTGGGAGAATAGAGTGACCACCAGCATATGCTATAGCAAAAACAAAAATCTAATCAGTGTTCGTAACCTGAACAGACCAGTCCCCACAAGCAGCACCCGTTCACGAGTATGACGTATGAGCCAGCCATCATTGTACTCAACCATACTCAACCATCGACCCGGCCCACCACGCCGCCACAAGTTTGAACTTTATAGCGAGCATGACTGTTTCAGGTTTTTCCACTACGTCAATTATATTATTTACAGCATAGGCTGTACCGATCACAGTTTTCACCCATTACAATATTAAATTTACATTATTTAATTTACAATATATCATTACAAAATTTATAATAAGTTTCTTTAATGTTATTGCATTATCCATGCCAATGGGAAAAATTATATACCTCATAACAAAAGTTAAAATTGTAATTAAGTCCACACATTGTTTTGTATTTTTGTATTTTACGTAACTAGTTAGCTTCAGTTTATATAGCTAATTATAGATATAATCAAAGTGAAATTAGTAATTTCAAGCTGAAATTATTACTCCGAGATTAATGTTTTACTAAATAATTCTATTTTGACTTACGGCTGTCGGGTAATAGTGACAGATTAACTCTGGGGACAATTTATCCGCTATATGCGTCAGGCGGGGGAAATATATCATGACCTAATTTTCACACAGACCTCAAGTTACTAACTTACGTTTCCTTTGCCTTGAGTGATATATTAAATGTTAATATCACTATACCAGTCAAGGCAAAATAGATAGTATGCGTTTTATTTTAAATATTATTATTCTACAGCAAACTCATTATTGGTATGATACTACTCCATACTATTGATTACTACTGTCTAAGACGTCAGGAGTTGTTATTTATAAATGTATGCAACCTCTATTATATCATTACACAGTATAAACAAAGTCGCTGTCGCTGTCTGTCCGTCCCTATATATGCTTAAATCTTTAAAACTACGCAACGGATTTTGTAGCGGTTTTTTTAACAGATAGAGTGATTCAAGAGGAAGGTTTATATGTATAATACAGGTACACTCGTGCGAAGCCGGGGCGAGTAGCTAGTAACTTTTAAAAAAATAACACTCGAATTTTAAATTTGTCATTAAGCTGAATCAATGCAGGGAAAATACCAACAGCTTTGCTAAATTGTATGATATCATTACACAGTATAAAACAAAGTCACTGTCGCTGTCTGTCCGTTCCTATGTATGCTTAAATCTTTAAAACTACGCAACGGATTTTGAAGCGAACAGATAGAGTGATTCAAGAGGAAGGTTTATATGTATAATACATGTACACTCGTGCGAAGCCGGGGCGAGTAGCTAGTATCTTTTAATAAAATAACACTCGAATTTTTAATTCTGAGCTGAATCAATGCAGGGAAAATACAAATCTTTTACATTAGTACAACATGTCTGTTTTATATTCACAAGAACAAAAGGATAGTACAAACAATTTCCTCATACTATTGAGAAAATTAATAAGGGAACGATTTGAAAATATAGTTCAAGATGACAAATAACAAAATAACGTTAATATACCTTCAAGATTTTAATCAGAGATGTACAGACAATAATAGCCTCGGTGGTTTAGTGGTAAAGGACACCGATTTTCTTCCGATGGTCGCGTGTTCGATTCCTCGCGGTTCCTCGGCACAAACATTTGTATTAATGAATATGATTGTTTGTATCGGTCTAAGTGTTTTCTATATATATTATGTATGTATTTACAAAAAATATATCTAAGTATTTGTAGCAATTGTCTAGTAACCATAATATAAGCTGTGCTTTGCTTGGGACTAGTTTGCGCAGGGAGCACTGCACCTATTTGAGAATGTTTTTTCATTATTAAAATTATTATTTCAGTTAGCTATAGAGTGGCTAGCTAGTTGTCTATCCCCGTTTTGTCTGAAGCTCATAAGTTTTTATGATCAATGAGATATGGTCTACAAATTTTGTAATCATTATATACTTACCCGGTAAAAGTCAGTGCAGAAAATTAGTATATTCACAAAATCGAACACCGCAACAGGAAATGCTCTTACTTATCTTTTCTTATCACAATCTTAAGATATAGCAAAGAAACCAAATTGAGAAAATGAAGCGATCTCATATAAATTGGCGTACGCTGATCTCACAAACTTCCTGGTCCCTTTTTGGTCAGTTGCAAAATTAAAGTGACCACACACGGCCCCAAAATCAGCGACATCGGATCAGTTGTAGACAGCGTAGGGCCCTTCAATAATTATGATTACATAAGTCATATTTGAAGCAGATACGTCTTACGTAATCGTAATCTTCTTAAATATATATAACTTAAAGGTGACTGACTGACGAAGTGATCTAATAACACACAGCCCAAACCACTGGACGGGATTGGGCTAAAATTTGGCATGTAGGTAGATGTTATGACGTAGGCATCGGCTAAGAAGGGATTTTGATTAATTCTACCCCCAAAGGGATAAAATAGGGGATGAAAGTTTGTATGAAACTTTGTCAATTTTAAACCGATCGGGCTAAGACTTTACATGCATAAAGCTACTATGGCGTAGGCATACCCTAAGAAAGGATTTTGATTAATTCCACCCCTAATGGATAAATTAACGCGAGCGAAGCCGCGAGCAAAAGCTAGTTATTAATAAAATGTTTTTTTAAGAACGAATACGCCCCTAAATCAGAGATGATATCGAGGCACTGGTGGAGAGCACTCTAGATTGTTTATGTAGTTTTTTTTGATATCTGGATGTGCAAATTAGCTGTTGACCCGACTCATAGTGAATAGAAAATAATGCTTAATAATAATAATAATGTATATAGACATGAACAGTACACAGTGTATATTTCCGAAATAATAACTAAAGATGTTGTCATATTTCGTATAACCTGTAATTTTAATGCCTCGTCTCACTCTTATATTGCTTACATAGCAAGCTACAAGAGAAGTAAAGTAGGTGAGATCGAGACATCGACGTAGACCAATTTATATACAGTCTCTTCAATTAGATTTTCAGAATATGAATATATCTGAAATATCATCCTGATCATCTAAATTAGTGGCGGTCCTCCACCGTGCGTTGTCCAGAATATAGTTTTTTCTTTTTGCCGAGCACAACCGTACTGTGGAATCACCCTCCAGCAACCCACCAGAACAGTGCGATTTCAGAGGAGCGAGAGGAGGTCCTCCCGCGTACACTTAGATTGTGGAATGAGCTTCCTGCCGAGGTTTTCCCACGAGACTACAGCATTGGGTTTTTCAATAAGGGTATTTTAAGGTTTCTTAAGGGTCGGCAACGAGCACGTGATATCCCTGGTGTTTCAGGAATTCATAGGCTACGGTGACCATTTACAATCAGATGGGCCGTGTGCTTAATTACTACCATCGTAGTATAAAACTAAATGATATATCGAACCGATACGATATTGAAACCATCAAGAAAAGAGCCTATTCCTTTATAAAAGGCTGGCAATGCACTAGCAATTCTCCTGGTATTGCGGGTGCTCATAGGCGGCGGTAATCACTTACCATAACGTGAGCCGTAAGCGCGTTTGTGATCTATGCTATAAAAGAAGATAGTCATAATAATTTGTATATTTGATCTGTTAATCTTGGAAGCAATCTTGGGTGCTCCCTGCTACTGCTCCGATATTGCCTCTGATTTTAGGTTCGTGTGTAGATGCTTTAGGATCAACAGAGATTGGAGCCGAAATATTTTCAGATGATGGTAATTTCAGACCTTTGTTGGGACCGGTTATGCGTCCCTGGTCACTTGTTTGAGGTAACCTGAACTTATTTACGTTTATGTACTGTATATAGTTGTTCTTTTTTTGAATATTTAATTGCTTTGTTTACGAATTATACTGAGATTATTTTACGG